AAAATAAATAATTGAATATGTTGACAAACTAAAGCCGATCTAATTCAATTCTCCTTTACTTTGGATCTCATTGATTTGCTTCCTATAAATGCCTAAAACACAACCCCTGTCTCGTGGTCACGTTTCATGTTAATTTCGCTCAGTTAAACTTATCACAATAAACTCCTGGTAATTTTTTACACCAAATATTTACAGACAATCCTACCATATGGCTTTTTAAATGCATTGCTTATGCTTTTGAAGATCATCAAACAGAGCAACCAATTTGTTGTACGACAACATAAAATAGGCGTATGGTTGATGTACAAAAAATGGAGGAATTCGTGATTCAATATTTAGAAAACTTATGAAATAACACAGAATAGACCTACATCAACTTGTTCAATGTTTCGTTTTGAAGATTTACTTTTCGCGATACGATCTACCTGACACCGCGCACCCTGATAGGTGATAGCACACAGTGTGCTAGATTTCATAAGTTTTCTAAATATTGAAGCACAAGTTTCTCCATTTATATCCACGCCACATGATTATTTTATGTTTTCGTACAAGAAATTGATTGTTCTGTTCAATGGTCTTAAAAAACATAGGCATTGCATTTGAAAAACAAAAGTTACCTCGATTTCCAGTTAAACCGTAAATGATATCGAAAGTTTCAATACGCAATGGAATAGATCGTAATGTGCTCTACTGTTCTAAAGGTAGCATTCTCAAAATGTAAAAAAGTATTTAACAAAATTATAAAATATTCTTAATTTTGAATATTGGGCTTCGCTTTGCGAGATTTGAGCAATATAGTATTGATTCAAACGTATTTATTGGGTATCGATACAGAACGTTCCTGCCTTTTCTTATCGAAATTGGTAGACAAATACTCAGTCTCTTTAGATTGTATCCTTTTCTTTGGAGAAGAACTTAAGAGAATATGTAAACGTGGCAGGTTAACGAAGAACATACTGGGAAGATGCCAAACTAGCTTAAATTGTATTCTATCTTTTATGTGTAAATAAAGTTGAGCAGGTACGGGATGTGTTAAGTATCAAATACCTGCAGATACAGTCGGGAAAATGATTTGTCGTGCAACCGGAGCACTTATCTCACAAAAAAATAGTTTTTTGGTCATTTTTTAGGTGTCGATTGCTCTGTTATTAATGATGTTAGAAAAATGATTGGAGGAAATTATGTGCTTAATAATTCAGTGTTTGAATTAAGCTGTCACTTTTGACTGATGACACAAAGCTTAATATTTTCTAATGGGCGTTTGTTCTTTCGATTTTCGATTTGTTCAAGTTGCAGTAATTTTTTATAAAGCTCGATATCTTACAAAAATTTTTTTTTGTTATTCTTTCGGTATCAATAGCCCTGTTTTGTGGGTTAGAAAATTGCGCAAAGAAAATAATTGGAGGAAATGTCTCATACATCCAAATCAACACATGAGTCTCCCTTCTTCTAATTTTGGAAGACTGATTGCAGTTTGGATAACAGAAGGGTACATATCTGTTGGTGCGATTAAGGTTTTTGTTCATAGAGTACATTTATTTTAAAAGATTCAAATTATTTCAAGAATTGTTATTACAAAAAGAATGAAAATAAAGATTAAGACCGTGCTAGTTGTCAATACCAGACAGACGGACGGCATTAACATTCATTCTAGGTTTTTTTGTGTGTACCTGTGTATAATTATAGCCCATTTTTTATAGCTGAAATTCTAGATCCGTTGTTGGTGTCGCCGTATGCATTATTTAAAAATTTTACCAAACATTTCAACGAAGATAATTGCACATTTAAAATTATATATATACAGTGTGTCCACGGATTGAGTACACATAAGGTGTGTGACAAATTTTTTTAGAGTTGGATTTTCATGTTCCGAGGATCTTCTCCTGCGTAGTCTCAAACTAAGATATTGAAAAAATGAGCCAAATCAATTAATATACAGGGTGTTTTTTGCCGAATTTTAAAAATTAGTCAGGAGCATAAATGTATTACAAAAATTGTTTAAAATTAAAAGTTATGGGAGACTTTCAATTTTCATACAAATCAGCCTACTTTGATTTTTTTCATCAGCATCCAATACTTTTGAACTCATGTTTGTAAAAATCAAAGCAGGCTGATTTGTATGAAAATTGAAAGTCTTCCATAACTTTTAATTTCAAACAATTTTTTTAAATAAAATAAAGACAGTTTACTAATGACTAATTTTTAGAATTCGGCAAAAAAAAACGGCTAGTATATTAATTGAATTGGTTACTTTGAGCCTAAGCAGCAGCGACCCTCAGAACATGAAGATCCAAAAAATTTGTCATATACACCTTATGTGTACTCAATCCGTGGACACACTGTATATCCACAACAGAGCAAGCGCTATACCTTGATCAATTAAAAAGGTTTTTCTCGTCATACGATCAAATCGTTAAATTCAAGCACAAAGAAATTACAGTTTAACATGAATGGATTTCTGAAAGTAAAGAAAAAACACCGACACGTAACTGACATTCACGTCCTTCATGAATAATTTTCATTTCATCAGATACTACACGTATAAAAAATTCATTTGGAGAAGTAAATGTCGCAGACTAATTGCGTAAGGGACTGCCGTTGTAATTAGAAATCGTCTGTCACTCCAGAACAGACACGACTGTAACTGGGTCAGGTTTTCATTTAGTAACCACACAAGTGCTAGTAAATAGGAAAATGGAAATGGTGTATTTGTCACTAATGATCGTAGACTGGGCCTTTTAACATCGAAATTATATGCGTGGATTCGCTTAAAATTATCAGTGTGTGTGTCCCTCGTTATTGGGGCTACTAAAATCCAAGCGTAGTTAATTCGTTAGTAGTTACCATCAAAAGTTACTACAACCGAATCAATTACATGTATGAAGAATTTCATACGGGAAGCAAAAATACGTTCCGCTTTAACGGGATTTTTATCCTGGTCAAAAGACACTTTTAGTAAATGATCCTGGTCATTCGTTGTGGTAAACTGACACTGAACGCAAGTTAGGAAAATGCACATTTTTTGCAGTAGTTTATGAAGAAGTATCTAAAATATTTACTGCCACATCTTCGTCCAGGTTAATAATAATAGGAACAACCTCTGATTTTATCGTTCATTCCAATTACTCACACATTCCCGGTATGTTTAATTGAATTTTTCCACATTATAGGTGCTACTGTATCTAACGCTTCTTTCCACATGCATAAGCAGATTTCAATGGTGGTCCCTACCAATACGCGTGTTATAATTTTTTTGCAATGTCCCATATTAATTCGAAAAAAGTTCGTTGTAAGGGAGTTTATTATACTTCGAGTGGTGATTTTCTTAAGAGGATAAAACGCTACACGCCCTTTAAATGCATCAGCACTACACACATAACACCCCTCCGCGACTAATCGATATTTGTACGGACCTTACAAATATAGCGCTAAGAATTTTTTTCGTCCAGAATTATCGCTTAAGGAGGAGGATCAGGTTTGGGACAGGTTTTCTGTTACTCCAACTCGGCGGTACTTTTTTCCTAACAACGGCGTAAGTGATGTCGATAAATCGGAGTAATTAGTAGAAGTGATCCTATGCATATTCGCTAGCTGACAACTTGGACTGATTCAGTTCAAATTGATGCACAAAATCTAACGCCTTAACTGAACTAAAACACTCCTGCTGGCCAGATCATTTAATCCTACTAGTAAACAATGTAACGATTAATTCCAAATAAATTTTTTCTTTAAATAAGCACGAAAATATACGCTGTTCTAGTACAATTTATCAATACTTCGCATATAAACGCAAGTAATAAAAATAGTACCTTATTACTGTTGAAGTCGTCACTGTTGATAACTTCGGTGGATCGGATTGGGTTTCAAGCTGACAGCTGTGTAGCGACTCACGTCTACAGGTTGGGTTCAAGGTGTTTCATACTGTTGACCTCTACTAAATAGCTTTTACATCGTGGTTTTTTAATATGGGATTAAATACCCAAATGCTAGGATTCTCATACTAATTATCCTAGGCTTCAATAACAAACACGCTAGTTTTCCAAATAAGAAACCGCAAGCAAATATACTAAACAAGGCGCTGCTTTTCGGCCCAAAAAAGATCTTGTTTAAACGTCTCGAATTCGCCAAATGCAATAGATGAAATATATTACAGCTGAGCTTTACCTTTAAACTGGTTTCATAAAATAAATCGCAAAATTTTAGATTTGAATAAAAATTCAATTTGGGTTAAAACTCCATTGGATGTAGGTTTTCCGACGAATGCATTTTTTCACATTGTCTACGTTTCCATTTGGGGTTACAGTATTTGTTTCTGGTTACAGTTATTACTGATTACCAAAGTTGACCCTTACTGAAACGCATCAATTGGTGGAAATTCAACGACCCACTGGTGAAAATAAGATGTAATTGAATGGTTAATCAAGAGTAAAGTTCCATTATCATAAGCCTCAATCAAATGGTGAGAGCACCCTTTATGTATGCTTACGGATCGAATGAATGTGTGCTAGGCAAGGGATTCAATTTTGTAATTTCGATGATCAACTTTCATATAAATTCAATTAATACGCAGCGGCCTAATGGAATACGACGCCATTTACTTGTCGCCATAATTAATTACCTAAAAAGATGTCGAAATTGTTTTATTTCACGAACCGGCGCACAATAAACGAGTGCTTCATAATGAATACCTTAAAAAAAATGGATACATTAATCAACCACCAAAGTTAGGTCACACCTTTCGTAGCATGAATGGAAAAGGGCAAATTCTGTTATAATGTAACACGTCTACTAGTTAATTTACGAGCAATTAAATTCAAGTTCAACTATTCCTTCATGGGAAGTTTAACTTGGAGAAGTTAATATCGAATTCGCTATGATGTAGTGTGTGCTAAAAAGGGAATGTTCTAAATTAATTAAACACCTTGTGTTTAGTGAAATTTGAATTAATTGAAACTGTTTTGAACTTAATTACATTCTAAAGTCGAACTTTTCTGTTGCAGGATCAAATAAGATGGACGTTGTGAGGAACGTCTAAGGAACTTTTCCGGGGAAAGGCGTACGGTAAGCAATACTTCGATCTTTTGTTTCATCTTATTTTTAATACACCAATATGCACTTTTATGTAGTCCAAAGAAAATCTCACGGATGACGTAATCCTTTGTACGTGACATGAACGTATGGTACTCGACTTGCATCTCCTCGATATTTTCAATACAGGCATCCTTGACTGTTTGAAGTTGCATTAGTGAATTTAAACATTTGATGTCCTTATTACAGAACACAAATAGGGATGCAACCGACGTATTTACCATTCAATATTTTTATTTAGTCGGTAAAGCGAAGAGTTACATTTTTCCTTTTTTTATCTGTAGTTACTAAAAAATTCCATTGACGGATTTACCTCATTTTTATGGCCGAGGGCTTAAAGTAAAAAATGTCGGTGTATCTTTTTTACGGCATCCAAATGATTTCGATAGAAAGTTGCACCTTCGATCAAACTTTGCTATCGGGCGAAGTAATTCAATATTCAAACATTCTCCTTCGACGTGGAGTTCCAAAGATAGTTTATTTTTTCTTATTGTATTTTGTTTAAGAACCCTCCAATTCAAGTTTTTTGATTGGTATCTTCCGAACCCTTCCCCATACATCGAAAGGTAAAATATATTAATGTAAATTGTCCTACTGCTATGAGAATAATATAAACTGGCAGCTCTGTGTAATTTTAACAAAAATGTCATGTCTTATTTTGTACGCTTCATGAGAATTATATACTAAATGTACCGAAATGGATTTGTTTTACGAGACTTTGGCTTAATAGTATGCTGTTGGCTTTCCTTCAAAATAGCGTATGTGAAATGCTTTTAATGAGTTTTAATTGAGTTTGCGTTACGCAAATGCCGCTTAACTTATAGAGCGTGTTTACAAATAACGAAATGCACGATTTTACAATTAACACAATTAGGACGGCACACTTTAGAGAAGTTTCTAAAGCCTTCGTTTTCAAGCAGACACGAGTGCTGCAATTATATTAAGGGGATGTGCGAATCAGTTGCTCTTGTATCGGCTGTCCATTTACTTTTAGGTTCTATAATTTGATACACATCCGTTTGTTTCGTTATTTGCTGAACAACTGACGTGTAAATATTTAATGCTTTTATGTTTCTAAATATTTAAGAACGCCATTCGGCAGGATTGTGTAATCATATAGAATTTAGGTTGTGCCATGTCATGAAGGATTCATCTCGTCAAAAGGATTGAATGAAAGAATTTCTCCGAGTGTATCTTTACATGGAGCCAACCCAGTGGCGGATTCAGCTGGGGGAAACCCTACAACAAGTCAAAAAGACTTGCACCCTTTTAAATGTTATAAACAACTTCATTTACAGTATTTCCATTACATTCTCTACTTTCTGATTTTTCTAAAAATGTGGACTGCATACAATCTGTTCTCCGAAAAAAAATGGAGCATCTTGACGACCGCAGTTAATAAAGTTTTATATTCACAATGTGCCCCTCGTGAAATAGTTCTGTGGACCCGCCACTGCCAACCTCCTTCATGTACACATTATTAACACAGACAGTCTACTAATGAAGAAAACTCAAACAAACAAACCCTAGCTATTGTTACTACTTCGGGATCAAATTTATTGCAATACTTACCCTACATCGCACTTAAATTTTATCTACGAGACACTCTTCTTATATGCGGAAATCTGCATTATCTTTGTGTAACCATACCACACAGAATTCCCTTGTTTCAACACGATTCGAGATGCTGGAAGAGCCTATTCCTAGATTCGCCATTTGGTCTTTATGAGTAAGGCCCGAAAAACCTAAATTGTCACTTTTCCCTTGAGTAAACGACGCCCAAAAACCGTACAGAGTGTAAATCGAAAAGTAGAACATAGACGTTTAACATGGGAAATTACTTTTTCTTTGCGCAAACGTTTCCTAATTATTTTACGCAAAAATACTTCAAATAAAAGTTATAGAGATATAAATTCTGCATCTAAATCATGATTATTCTACCTCTTCTTGCACGCGAAAAAATTAATTATAAAGATTCTGTTTTGACGAGTTTTTAGTCTTAGTAGCCATGGACTATGATAAAAGAAAAACATAAAATGCTCTAAATTTTGTTGTTAAATTTCTCGAAGAACTTCTATGCAATTTCTGGAGAACATATAGTGAGACTCTGTAGAGATGCTTTAAGATAACAGAATAGTCTAGCAAAAATTATTAAGGATTTAACAAATTATCCGTCTGTGTGGCACAGTGGTAGAAGGTTGGGATACACAGCCGGAACGTCGGGTGTTCGAACCTGAGTTGAGCTGAATTTTTCATCTGTGGCAGAGATGGGAATTTCCTTAGATCAGTTTCGAGCATTCTGCCGGCTACTCCGAATTAGGTTTTCCTGCAGTTTTCCTAATTCGTAAGGTAAATACAGGTAAGAACAGCTTACAACCTTCTGCAGGGCACCTCTAAAAAGCATTTTTTTTCATTAATTGGTGGTCGTACAACAATCGTTATTTACACAAGTCAAAAAGATAAACAAATAACACAAAGCATACAGGAAACGGTTGACATGACAACAAACTCTATTTAAGTTTTTGAATGAACAGTAAAAATTCCTGAAATGGATAAGAAGCGTTCGTGATTAAAATCTTTCTTACAGCAGCTTTAAATTGGGATAATTCTAACCTTTTTATATTATCATCTAACGCATTGTAAAATTTTACACCCCAATAATTAGGACCGTTAAAGGATTTTTGAAGCTTAAATTGATTTAGGCGTAGATGAGAACTGTATCTTGTTGAATGCTGGTGGTTGATGGTGTTTGATTCATATGAACGAATAGTCTTTTTGACATAAATAAGACACGGCAGGTTTAGGATTTTTAATTGATTGGATTTCTATTATGAGTGGAATAATTAATTATTGTATTGTTAAGAATTTGATATCCACCCAGGGCGCCCTGCTTTTTTGTGGGGTGGTGAGAACATAGTTTTAAAGCCGTGATTCTTTGTTATAACAATATACAAGGTAAATCTTCCGATATACTGTAAGTGTAGGCATATTGGAAATTTAAATCTTCCCGATATGTAGTGTAGGTGCGAAAACTAGGAGATGCTGTATTACTGAAACTAAATCTCAACTTTTGCCAGATTAAATGGGTCGAATTTTTGTTGTTGCGTAATTAATAGCGAAAAACTCCTACACTGTGTCTCATTCATCGAAATTTCACTAACATTCCGTTTCCTTTCGTCATTTCTCTACAGTTTCTAGTCGAATAATTATAATTATCTAACAACTACTTCCTCTTAATGAACCTACTATAAACTGAGTAATTAAGCATAAATTTGTGTTTTACTATTACTAAATTGCGTCGTTTAAAAGGTATCATTTGTCACGGCCCTAGGACATTGTGATTGATAAATGTTCCGCTCAATATTGAAGCTGAAGTATTCCGTGTTTTCATTAAACGCATCGTAATGTCGAACCCCCTGACAATAAACACCGCACGCCATCCTATAATGCAAATTCCACAGGAAAGCTTCGTAATAAACAAGTAACCCAATTTATGCATATACATCAAAGAGCTTTTTTGGCCGTACCGTCAGATATAATTTTAATCTGAAACGCATGATGGTGCTGAAATAAAATCGATATTACTAAATAACGCGTGCCAGGAGGAAATTGTAACTTAACCCCCGTAGCGAAACCAATATCCTTGTATATACCTCGTTTTCCTCAATATTAAGCAAGCGCCTACCATTGTTTGAAAAATAATTACTGCCAAGATTATTTTCACACTCCTCTTGTCGTTTCGCCGAGAACTGTAAAGGCACAAGCCATATGAGAGGTTCGGTTTAATGAAAGTATTGTCACCACCGATTCGCATGAAAACCACTTCACTTACATTCTTGTACAGTAAAAACGCTGAATTGATTAATTAAGATGCAATTAAATCATTAATCATTATTTTAAAGGACATTTTTGTATCGAGGTCACTTGAATATTTGTTTCTGAATTTCAACCGCATGTATTTACGAAACCTTTTGGAGACTATCGCTCTTGTGAGTCTTTTCGATATTTGTGATTCGTTACGAAGATTTCACCTTCCGATACTCTGATTTTGTCTACGTTACTATTGTTACTACGAAGATTCTTCCCTGTTAGTTTGATTATGTTCTATCATTTAGTTCCTTTAGCTACCTTTGTAAATTAGTTTTTGAAGTTACCGAGATCAATTCCGAAACCGATTTTTATTTACGTTACTTTTATCATAACGAAGAATTTGTTCACCATAGTTTATTTACATTTTGAATTAATTAGATTTCATTCATTGCATAGAGATTTAGTTATGTGTGCGATTTGCACGGATGATTCGTTGTCGATCAAATTTTTTCTTTTCTTTAGTTAAAGTAAATTGAATTATTGGTTGTTATTGAGTGTTAATTAGTATTCGAGTTACCTGGTTAGTGTCAAACGTTAAACATTGCTATCGCAATATTTATGCGCCGCGTTATTTACTATCTTTCTTTTTTTTTGCATTGTTATCTGCTACATATAGGTAAGGCAGAAAAGTGTCCTTCTGAATTCAGACGGCCGTTACGACCAGAGTTCAAGGGTAATATATTTATTTTCGACGACTCCTTGATATGACGTTTGATTACTTACTGAAAACTAGCACCAGCATCGATCTTTGAATCAAACACACGTGCTTATCATATGTGCATGTAATGTACTCTTTCGGCATCAAGATAATGCGTTTGAAAGCTTTTACAACTCCAAATTTATGCATGTGTGAAGGATAATGTTGGGTACATTTTGCTTTAAAACTTTTGATTTAGATATAGGGTCCTACCTTAATGTCCAAAGTAGTAGTTTAAAAAGAGTTAGGTGCACGGACGGACGGACAACAATACAAACCTATAAAGAATCTGAGGATCCTTAATAATAATATATAAAATGCATACGTGCATTCGACGTAAATTATGTAAAATGTTATAAGCTTTTCCAAAAATTTTGTTGGCAGACCTCGTACGTCATAGTTGAAA